GAGAGAGAGAGAGAGAGAGAGAGAGAGAGAGAGAGAGACTGAAATTTTAGCCTGAGGAAGCCTTCAGATCTGAGGGTCATGGGAACAGATGTCACGCAAGTATCTAGGGAATAGCATTCCAGACAGAGGGAATGTAAAGAGAAAGGCCCCTAGACAGGTGCAATGCTGGTGTGCTATGGGGGTTGGAGACAGAGTAGGAGGGATATTTATGTTTGGGGCGGGGGAGAATCAAGGATCTCAAGAGGTAAAAATGAGGAGAGAATGAAGGCCAGTCCTGGCTTCTAGGAGACAGTTTATGTTATGAAAGACTTGCTCACTAAGCAAGGAGACAGTGCCTGGGAACCAAGGAAGACAGTGGCCTGGATATATCTGGGAAAGCTCTCCTGAGTATTCCAAGCCAAAGAACAAGGGAGGGGAGGAGAGGGGAAGTGGACAGTCCCACCTGCAGCAGCAGCTCCAGACAGCCACAGAGTCCGCGTAGCTCAGCGCTGGTGTCTGTCACCGGCCCCTGCCCATCCCCGTATCCCTGAAGGATGGCGGAGACAGCATCTGCAAGGAGAATGATAGACAGCAGACATGGGGGAGCCCGGCCTTGGAGGGGGATGCTCTCCAGAACCCCCACTTCTCCTGCAGCTCAACCCCAGACAATTTCACAAGCCAGACTCACTTTTTAGGTTCCTGGTGATCTGTAGGATGGTCTCCTCTTCTGCCATGGAGACTTGGGAGTGACGTGGTTCCCTACGATGCTCTGGGTTCAGCTGCCCACTTTCCTCATGCATAGATGGGAAGGGAGTCTAGAGTTGAGCGAGAGCATTCTGGGGTCACACAATGGGTTAACCGGTGGAATAAAAAACCCAACTCTTTCTTCCTTTCTTTTCTTTTTTAAAAATAGTTTACTGAGTACACTGCAAGGAATCAAAGTTACTTCTTGAAGGCCAATGTATAGAGATGTGACTGTGACTCCCACGTATCCCGCCATCCCTGGTATTGGTCACCCTGGTCATTGCTGACATCTTTATCTCAGTTCTCAGTGGAGCCCCTTGGTAGCCTCCAGAATGTACTGTGACACAGATGACTGGACACAGAGAGGGAAGATCTCAATCTAGTACCACAAAGCTAGAAGCTCAACTCAGATCTGTTTACTTGGTGTGAGCATAATGGCAGCGCCCTGTGGGCAGCCGGCTGGGACCTGTCGCCTCCTTTCCCCTTGGATAGCCCCAGAATGTCAGCAGAGTGTCATCGCCTTGAGACCTACATTAATCCTTTCCGGAGCCCCAGCTGAGCGGAAAATGTGTGTTTCCTGGGGAAAGCAGGCAGAAGTAGAGGTGCAGGGTTAGGACTGAACCCGATGTTGGGTGTGAGGAGTGCAGCACCTGGGTTTACCCCCACCATCCTCTCTCGGGGGACTCTCCTTCTGCCTCCAACTGGTCCTGGGACTCAGCAAGGGACACTGTTGCCCTTGAGGGATGATGAGCTTAGCTGAGATTCTGGTATCAAAGTCAGGCCCAGGACGAAAGCCCAGGTGTCCAGCCTCCCAGGCAGCAGCAAAGGAATTTGTGGGTGAGGTAGCAGCCTACGGCAGTGGATGAAAAGGAGAAAGAAGAAAAGAGAGGATGGGACAGCAGGGCCCCGGGATGGGAGTTGGAGGATGCAGGGCCACCCTGGTCTAGTTACTCGCTGTCTTCCAACAGTTCACTCTTTCCCAGGCCCCAGTTTCCTCATCTGTAGACCAAGAATTAGACAGAAGTTCTCCACAGACCTTCAGGATTTCTCTAACCCATCCCCAAACCCAGGGTCTCCCCGTGCTCACCTGGGAAAAGCCTGCCTGGTTGGGGTGTGGGCATCAGGGTTCTGCAACCTGGGTATGTCCCTTGTGACTGTGGGCTTGCACAGTCCTTCCCAGTTCTCCTGCCTGGGGAGTGACTCAGGCCCTGCCTGGAGAGGGCTGGACCAACCCTGGCCAGGGAGAAGTAGTAGAAAAAGATTAAGGCACCACCGAGGCAGAATGGGTGGCTCCGGCAAGCTGATCTGGCATAGGGGCAGTTAGCAAACAAAACCGACAGGGGCCTTCTTTCCCCGGGCACCTGCGCCTGTCTTTCTGTCTTGCTGCCAGCAGATGGCGGAAAGAGGCTGACTGAGGCGCTAGTGAACGCGTTCCTGTCACTGGACTGGAGGTGGCACAGGTGGAGAGAGGACAAACGATCACCAAGTATCTTCACTCCCCTCTACCCCAGCCAGCTGCGCCATCCTTGTCAGTGTTGGGTGCCTTCCTCACAGTCCTAGTGTCCACTCACCAGGGACGGAAGTGAAACTCCGGGTGAAGCGCCAGGTGGGCTGCTCTCGTAGGGTGGCCTCTCTTCGCTGACCTCTCTCAGCTTCCTGATGTTGGGGTCATCATTTTTCTAGACTAGACTGGCCTGGGGGCTGGTCCTGGTAACTGGGAACCGAGGGTTAGGGACTTCTAGAACTACTGTTACAGGTAGACGAACTACCTGTAAGCAGGACACAGCGATCCTCAAGCCTGCTGTTCTCTGCTCCACGTCCCGCCTTTCTTCCTGGTGCAGAACTCTGTTCCCCACACCCGTCCTCCCTGTCGCCGTCTCTGTCCCCTACAGATCCCTTTTCTGTTGTCAGTCTCTTAGTTGCTTGCTGGTCACGCCGTCGCTCTCTTTCTTGCACTGCTAGTTCAGCCTGTCCCAGGGACCACGCTGCTGCCCCTCCCGCGTTCCGGTGCCTTCGGTCCCCTCCCCACCGTCTGCCTCCTGCGTCCCTGTCGCCGCCCCTCGCAGGGCCCCCGCACTCCCACTGCCTG